GAGAGAGAGAGAGAAGTAAATATGGCGGATTATCAAAAAAAAAGAAAAAAAGAGTAGACAAAATTTGAGAAATATGAGAAAGTCGTAAGTGCAGCATATTAAAATTTTATTCCAAGATATTCAAAAAAGATAATGAAAATATCTTTATAACAAACACTTAAATTGTATAATTGAAGGATTAACAGGTATTATACTTTCTTATTCTTCATGAGACGTATTATGTTTTATCAATAGGAACGGTATTTGCTATTATCTCAAGATTCGTTCGTTGATATCCTTAAATGTGAAATGACTGAAAATTTATTATAATATTCATTGGTGTAAATTTAACATTTTTTTTAGATCTAATATCAATACCTCGACGTTATTCGGATTATAATTGATTCATATTATTGTTGAAATTCAATTTTATCGATTGGATCAACAATTAAATAGATTAATTTTTTAAATTTTTATTACTTTTAGAAAGATTAATTTCAAAACGATCTTCAACGATCGAAGATGATATTTTCTTTTATCTGTGTTAAAAAAAGAAGGGAAATGGCTTTGTTGAATTCGCTTCTTCAAATAATCCGCAAAAAGATCGAAACAAATAGATGCATATATTCGTTCTCCTCGAGCTTGCATAACACGAAATGTATCTTATCTGCATATTCATTGCAGCAACGGCAATCGATTGGGTAAACCGTAATCTGGCTGGAAGGATCGAAAACCTTTCAGAAAAATGAATTTATTCGTGAATTTATATCCACCGTTTCCCGTCATCTCGTTCATAAATCATCCCCATCGAGGACGCGGATGAGTCCACAGAGTGGAACGCGAAGAAACAACCCCCTTCCCGGCACGAGACTTTGGCAAGTTTTCTCCCTCGTGGAAGAATTCTTCTCGAATTCACCCTTTTGCCCGCAGTTAATCCTCCTGTATTGTTAAACGTCACGTAAATCGCTGTGTCGAGCGGAAGAATTATGATTCTCTTAACGGAACCTGGTTTCTCCTTTTTTTTTTTTTTTTCCAGAGAAAACTCGCGAGACTTTACCGAACACGGACGATGCTTTTAATCGACTACTCGAGATAGAAATTGATGCACTTTTTTTTCGCCTTTGTCAGAAAATTATTATTATTGAGTAAAATTAATTAATTTTAATCCTAAGATCCTAATTCAGTAATTCAGAAGTCGAATGGAAAACGAATCAAGAAGAATATATATTCAATATATCGTTCTTTTTATTCCCTTATTTTAAGTAAATTTAGTAATTTTAATCTTTTAGACGTTTTGATGCTTCCACACGTGAAATAAGATACATTAAAAATCTTAATTTAGTAATTCAACAAGCAATGGAATCGAGAAGAGTATATTCAATATTCGAATAATTTTTATCCACGAGTAATATCGTTTTATTCGCTTGCTTTAACTTAAAATTACTAATTTTAATCTTTTAGAAGTTTTGATGCTTCCACGTACGAAATAAGATACATTAAAAATCATGAATTTAGTAATTCAACAAGCAATGGAATCGAGAAGAGTATATTCAATATTCGAATAATTTTAATCCACGAGTAATATCTTTTATTGCTTTAACTTAACTAATTTTAATCTCTTAAAAATTTTATTTCATCGCGTGGAACGTCATTAATTAATTCAACAATTAATATGAAAACGAATCGAGAAGAGTATATGAAATGTTGGAATAATTTTTGGAAAATTGTTCGCACCAGTGAAAATTGGACTGAAGGAAAGTTCAGAGGTTGCGGTTTTCGGAACGGTGGGATGGAAGTCAGTTGGAATTGACAGAAACTGGAAGAGCCATTGGCTCCAGACATCCTGGCGCCGTCGCGCCGCTTCCCAGCTTTTGGCAAAACACATCCTATCCCGTCCTGTTCTGGAAGCGGGCGCCTAGTTTTTTTATGGCCTCCGCCACCGCGACCCCCGATTCCCCCATAAAATCTCGTCTCCTCGTTGCCCTGACCCCCTACGACCTCTCTATATCTCCGCTGCATCCTCCTCCTGTTCCTCTTCTTTTCGTGGAATACGAGCAAGCTCGATGATAGCGGAGACCCCGCTTCTGGAATGGGGAACGGCACGTGTCGATCTAGAAGATTAGTTTCCAACTACGAATAGCTTTGAGTTTGTTCATCCTTGGAAAACGAATCGAATTATTCCGCGACTCGTTTGTGTAATTCATTTCATTCGAAAAGTTTCGTACACTATACGATTCTACGTGAATACGTTCTCGTGATATACGATTATGTGGACAATTAATTCCCAATAATTTAACTTCTAAGTGGATTCGTTGAAGTCCTTGGTCTTTGTTTTAAGTTATTTTGTTTCGTTTCATACCGTTCGATCTAAGATTTCAAATTTTTTTAGATTTTTTTAGATTACGCGAGAAAAGAAATTCTTCGAGAAAAATCTACAAGGAAATTTAGCTGATTCTAAAAATATTTCCATGTTATATCGAACAGTATTTTTCTTCGAAAAATTTCCTTATTTTCAAAATTCCATTTTAGATTCCAATCTAATCCCGAGCAATTTCATTTCTTCGAATATGATTCATATATATATGATTCACTCATCCATATCGCAAGAAATCTGATTTTATTCCATTGGAGAAGATATTGATATTTCTCGGTTAAGTTTCTACGTACACCCATTGGTGGAATAGTTGACTCATTCTTACGACTTCGATGTATCAAACTCTCGGAGAGAGATATCAATCTGATTCGGTGGCGAATAAAGTTTTCTCCCGCATATAACGGAGAAACTTTCTAGAATGGGTGTACGCGTGATTTCGACGACAGGGCGCATCGCGAATAGGACAAAGGGGGCGATAAACTTGTTCTGTTCAGAAGGAGAGGGAAATTGGTGGAACGAGGCATCTCCGGGGTGGGGGGAGTTGCTCTTATATTTATTACCGTTCAAGGGCGGAGAAGTTGGTATCTCATGGTTTGGTCCAAAAATGAGTTGGCACGAGATCGACTGACAAATGATCAAACGATTCGTTTGTTCGTTCGTCCATCCGAGAGATGTTGATCGTGATAGGATGTCGGAGATGGATGCTCTTTGTTTCCGTCGTTTGCCATAGGGATGGATTGAGGTAATGGATGATTTTTAATTGTGTAGCGATATTTTGTTGGATTAATTTGAAAGATTAAGGTTAAGATCAAGATCCTGGGGATTTTACTGTGTATACTTTAAAAAGTAGCTCTTATTGTTAAGTATGTTGAGATGGAAGGATTAGTATCCTCTTCTAGAAACTTTTATTATCAGTTTATTGTATTATTCTGTTATTTTAACTTCAATTTTTATCATTTTATTTATAATAATGTTTCCAGAATGTTACTAGGAAGTTTTTTTTAAGTGTGATTGCTTAATAAGAACAGGAGTTAATAATTGTTCGTATATTGATATAAACATTATTTGAATTTACAATAATTATTGGAAAGAAAATTGAAATAGTTTATTAAAAAATCTAAAGACATTGATTTAATAATTATATAATTATATATAATGTGTATACTTAAATAGAATTGTTTATTTCAGAAAATATTTTTATTACGTGTTTATTTATTAAAAAGAAAGAATATTTTAAATATATTGAAATATTTGTAAAAAATGAAAATATTATCGCGTAATTCGACGTAAGCGGTGCTTGCTCCATCTTGGAGGCCACGCAGGAAACGGATGATAAGGCAGGCCAAGGCTAACGTTTCTCGTAGGAGAAAAAGCTTTTTCCTCGTACGGTAAAAAAGCCGAGATGAATGAAAATTGAATTACAAGCGCTCTTCTGGCAGTTGTCCAGCTGAAACTTTTCTCTTCGACTTTGTTGGAAGCGCAAGATTTATCTCTTGTTATCCACTTTTGAATCAATGTTGGTTTGCCCTCGTTTCTTAAAAAATCCTTGAGAAACGATCTTAAAACGTATCACAGCGACTTTCTAAATATACGTCGAAAATAACGATTTGTTAATTTTTTGTTTTTACTCACAATTTATTTTTAATTTATAAGACAGTTAAAATTATAAAATTTTACGAGATAAATGACAATAATTTTAGAAATAATACATTATGACAGAGAATATTGCTCGTTAACGCTGTTACAATGACAAAGTAGACATGATTATTAAGATCTTGGCAACGAAATACTACGACCTTGCGTATTGTTAACTATGTTAATGTTTCTTTTATTTTCATGCAGTTCTAAATTTTGTGTTTACATGTTATACAATTACTACAAGATACTAGAAAACGTGAAAAAGCATTAAAAAAGATCCAAGACGATTGATTCTAACCTTACTTTCGATCGTGTTCAAATATCAATATCTGTAAAAAGACAAACAATTAGCATAAAATTAATCTCCTATAATCTATTTCTTTGAACAAAATCATAGCTACACGATTAAATATCTTCTTTCTAAACACGTGATACTTCTATCAAATAGGCCAGATACGAAAATTGCGTAGAACTTGGTATCTATAACGATCAACAAACACACTTTTCTCGATACAAAGCCTGATCTGAAAAATCTCGACTCTCGCGCGGTTAGGCCATTTGAAATGCAGGTCGTGCCCACGTTCGTCCGGTATATCGAGCAACGCCCACGCCCACGACAGGTCTATGCACAGGTGCATTCTGTTCGGCGACAAGGTGGAAAAAGGTCGCCCACGTAAGCGACAACGATCGGGTCCGGCTTGTGACGCGCGAGGAATGCGAGGAACGCGCGCGAGTTTACGCTGCCCACGCGATTAGAAGAAGCAACAGGCTGTTAATCGTCCATTTTATTCGTCAATGATCTCGTGGACGTCGATCGTGGACGTTGCTCGCCACGTCGAACGGGAGGAAATCGGCGGCCACTTCCTTCGAACGTAGATAAATAACGGAAGGCCGAATGTGTGTCACCATTTCATACGTATAACTCTTCCTATTCTCTCTGTGGTTATACAACGATCTTGCAAAGAGAAGAATTGTTTCTTGTTTCGTTTTCTTATAAAATTGTATGGGGAACGTGCGCGTATGAAGCTCTTTTGGACGTTTATTTTGAACGGATAATGAACTGGCGAATGGCAGTCGAAGTGGTACATGCTACTTAATAGTGAATGGTGCGTTTTAGAGGTAGATTTAAAATGAAGCGTGAAGATTTATATTCGTCGAGTGCGTTCGGTCAGTGCGATGCTTTTTGTGCAATATCAAGTTGAAGTTCGTGGAGTGGATCAATTAGAAGAGTGGTGATTTTTCGAGGTAATTTTTTTTTTTTTTGATTTTTAAGAGACAGAAAGTAAGTTTTATTTTATATCAATATTTTTACGTATCGTACATAAGTAATAATCTTTAACGAACTATCAAAAATTATTTACGTTATAATTCGATCGTACGATAATCTTCAATAATTAAATAAAATTTTTCATTTTATTAATGCGTTCGTAAAAACGAAACTTGTTGAGTGAAAATGAACACATTTTAAAACGATGCAAATTGCAATTACGTGAATAATACATGATAACAAAAAAACGTGATGTCATCGATGTACTCATACTCTAAGAAAACTAATATTTCTAGGCTTCGTTCTCGCTCCGTTATTTAACAAGTTAAAATTACGTGCTGTTGAAAGAAAATGGAATAAGAAAAAAAGAAAAGGAAAAAGAAGAACAGAGATTAACCCCTGTTTATATCTGTCTATGATGAATTTTTTTTTAAATGTGATTTCCATGGAATACGATACACGGAGTAACGTAAAGCGCGTTACATCATTGCATACTACGAAACACACGCTTCTGAATGGAGACTGGCATGACCAAATTTGGTGCGGTCTCGATTCTATATCCAACGCTGGATTTATTTCAAAGTTTTCCAATGGACGACTTTAACGAACCTTTTAAAACGTTTCGCTGAATTTTCACGATTTTTTTCCAATTTTTTCCAAGAGTTCTCGGTATAATTTTCAATCGCGACGATGGATTTTTTTCAATCACTTTCCTTAATACCGTCCTTTAGGGAAGTGAGACACGTACAAAAGCCCTTCGTCGTGTTTTCTTGTCACGCGCGTGAGTTTGGATCTTTTTTATTTTTAGAGGAAAGTCTGTTTATTTGGATTAGTTATTTGCATGGAGACAGGGAAGTACGCAGCGTGTCGAGGCCCGCGCGATATCATTATCGATTATTAGGCTGGTAGAAAGTTTTCCAAATCGGAAATATTCGCGTAATTCGATATATCTATTGTTACTTGGAAATTATTTATCGATAATTGTGATACGCTTTCCGGATATTTATCGAATTTATTTAAATTTTATTATTTTGTAATTGAACATTAAAAATATAAAATTTAAATATGATATTTTTAATGAAAGTCAAAGAATTTTTCATTGTATTCATATTTGCATACAGTAATATTAATATTTTGTAAAGTAAGATTTTTATGAAATGGATTTACATATCGAAAATAATTAAGAATGATGTTATTATATAATTATTTAAAGATACGTTTTATTAATTATCCAATTTATATGTATTTAAAGATATTTTATATTAATATAATTTATATATAATTGTATTTGAAGATATTTCATTGATAACTTTATTATATTCATATATTTATATCAAATTATTGATAAAATAAAAAAATTTTAAAAATAAGATAAAAATTATCATATGGTTATACACTTTATTTTATATTTTATTTTATCATTTAATTCATTGTCGTGTTTGTAATTGAATTTTTAACGTCATTTAAAATTTTAATTTATTTCAATTAATATTACGATAATAAATATAAAACATTAACTTTCCAATATCATAACCATCGTTATAAATTCGTATCGGAACTTTATTAATTTTATATTGGAATATTAAAATAGTTGAAAGAAAACATTTTGTATTCGAAAATCGATAAAAAAGAAACTAGAAAGAAAAAAACATTTTTCCTTGCCGTTTCTGGGTACTCAAGCTACCTTAATTTTTTCGTGACTCGAGCCGTCACTGATACAACGAACGAGAGGAACACGAAACTGAAACGGCCGGGAGTCGCAAGAGTGTTGTCGGACGTGTGGTTGTGGCCGAAGTGACAAATTGATTTTGTGCAACGAAACAGGGCTTCTTTTCTATCTATGGATATTTTTCACGGTGAGTAGAATCTACCAATGAACCGATAATATCTCGAAACCGGCGGCTGGTGATGATGCCGCCGGTTCCTATTGATTTTTCCGTGACTTCCGACAGATGGGCGTGCTGCCCTCGTTTAGATTTTTCCAATCGTTCCTGTTCATTTTCTCGCCGATAAAACGCGAACTCTTGTGTTATTTTATTAATCGTTCGGGCCTGTATTTAATCTCTCGACCGTACATGACCGTATACGTCTGAGAGTCGGTGCGCATTACGGGCGAGCTAACCTCAAAAACGAAGGGAGTTGGACCACCCAACGGGTGTCTCCCGAAATAGAGATGATTCACAACATCGCGACAAATTGACAGCTCGTATCCTTTCTTCATCAACTTTTATACGTGCTTTTGTTCCGTATTTTGCAAATTGTATATCGAACAGATTTTTACAAAATGCTGTGTTAGTGCTAGTGCTCTCTTCGATGCTCTTCCCTCTTCCTCTCGTGTCTCTCTTACGTTTCGTTAAATGCGCGACGTGCCAAAACAATAGGACCGGAGAAAATCAATAGGCAGGCTGTAAGAGGTTAAATAGGGAAACCCATCTGCTACCACTGTGCACGAGACTTTATTAAGTTTCTGCGTTTGGCTAAGTTCGCTTGTGTCCGGGACACTAGAAAATTCGTTCTTGTTTCACGTCGACGATTTTACGACGCTTTTTAATTCTTCGCGATGTCAGCAAACCTTTTGTGTTTCTTTTTCTTTCTATTCTCTCCCTTTTTTTCTCATCGCGGTAATTTTCTCGACGAATCTTAGTAGAGATTTTTTTTCGTATCGTGCTCTTAAAGGTAATTTTTAATTATTATTATTATTATTTTTTTTTATTATATTCTAAAAATTTCTTTGGAGAAAAATTTTGTTTATACATATAATATTTTTCTTCGATGTGTAGCAATAAAAATAACGCGTTAAACATCAGTGTTCGATTAACTTTACTTCTTTGAGAATATTGCCAAAGTAAAATCCCCTTCGTTTTTTAACGGATTGGTTCATAGTAATTTTTTAAAAGCGCGATTTATTGGATTTTCATTGGACTTTGATTAATTTTTACCCTTTGATAATCGCTAAATAATTTTTTTTCATTTATATTTCATTTATTTATTTCTTGTAAAATTGTAAAACATTCTTATTGATTCTATAAGTTATTAGATTATTAATGTTATCAATTATTAAACAAATGAATTACTGATATTATTGGAATTTTTTATAATTTTTTATATATATTACAATAACAATAATTTGCAATAATTAAAAATAAGTTAGAATATAGATCTATAAATTTTGTTTCAAATTTAGAATTTAAAAATTACATTCTCAGAAAAAATATGATTAGAAATTTAATTTTATATTACAGATATTACAATGAAAATTGATATCTTTTAGAAAGATATCAATTTCATTTCAAAAACTTTATTTATGAAAACTAAAAAATATATCAATTATCAAAGTGATCTAAATCAAAGAACAAAATATTGCAATTTTCCAAATTTTGTGAACAATAAATTCGAAACGATACGAACGGTGATAAAAGAAAAAATATTTACTTATTAATTGTTTTTTTAAAAGGAAAGAAAGCAAGACAAGGAAAATAGTGGAAAGAAAAGATTCACCTGAATAGTTTTCTCGTGTCTGCACTCGCGGATTTAAAGTTCTTAATTCTTACGGTGCGTGACCAATGCTCTTCCGCAGATTTATTTCCGTGGAATTAAGGCAGACTCACAATTTAATTATCGCGATCCACTTGGAGCCTGTTGGGAAGTCGGCTTTAAGGTTTCATCGAGTTTATCCGAAGTGACGATCTTTATTTCCCGATTGACGCGAGTAAAAAGGCCTCGCGGAAGCGGAACAACCCTCGTTTCGAGCGGAGATCCAGTTCCGGATATTGCCATTCGAATGAATTACGATATCGAATCGTTTGTACATAGTAAAATTTTCGTTGAAATTTAATCATTAATTTTTTTTTCTTTCTTCCTCTTTCCTTCAAGTGAATTCTCTTCAAATAAATAATTTTCGATCAAGATAAGAAATATATTTTTGTTGCTTCTTATCGTGCAAGATATTGATAAGTATGAAGTGGATCCAATTATTATGATCAAATGAAACAATATTGTAAATTTTACGTTGAAAAATTTTTAATAATATTTAAAACGATATCTAGGGTTAACGAGTTGAGCGATTAATGATATGTTATTTATATTAGCCAATGAATGAA